AAGAACTTTTGAGCCTTCTTTGAAAAATAACTTTTATATGTCAAAGTGCTCGAATACTCTGCTTGAAAATGAATCAGCTATTGTCTCAATTCTTAAAAAGGATTAGTTAATCAATATTACTGCATTAATTAACAATGCATCCGTTGAATTGTGTTAAATATAAATAATGTTCGTTTGACTTTTAATGTTTTGGAAAAATTTGAACTTTACGAAAATTCCTTTTAGTTTTGTTTCGTATATTTGCGTAGGATCAGTTATCTCTCTGTAAACATAAATGATATAACTTTTCATATTGTGTATTTTATGTAAAAAAAAGATATTAACTTTTAACATTATAAAAATTGTCTGAAAATTTCAACTTATGTTATTTTTATAAAATGCACAATATAATGATAATAAAAGGTTTTGAAATTCAATTCGAAAGCAGAAAACAATACTTTAAGCAAAGTTGTACTTTATTGTTCTAATATCAATTCAAATTTCCTTCATTCTAAAAGCATAAATTGAATAAATTTGCTTACACTTGCTATCAAGTAGTTTAATGCTAACTAAAATTTTATTGCTTCGAAAGAATAAATTTGTAGCAAGAATATTAATGATTTTTAAAATTAAAGATTTGTACAAAAATAGTCTTGACTTGTAGGCAAAATATTAAACTAGAAAATATTTAAGGTTTAATAAAAACTTTGGAAGAAAACTATACTCTTCAAACTAATATTTAAACGGATGATAAAAAAAAAGATATTTTAGTTTTCCTACATCTTGAAAATGTCACTATTTTCCAAACATCACTTTTTTATTATCTTTATTTTATCTGATCGTAAAGTATTTTACGTTTCCTTACCCTATTGGTCGTCACTAAAATTGAATTTACGGAAATCGGTCCCTGAGGAAGTTCTTTCCTGGAATATCCATCATATATCTTACTGAGAAAAAAAAAGACTATTGAAACCAATTCATACGAAAAAAAACATTTATAAAAAAGATCAAGGTGTTTTAGTTTTAATGTTAATCTAGTCAAGAACTTAAATGGTTTAATATAAATTTTTACTCTGCAATAAGAAAACAAATGCAAAAGATTAAATTCTATAAATGATGATATTTATGACATCAAAAGGTCCAAAATTCCATATAATACCAAAAATAACTTAATTTATAAAACCTTAAAAATCAGAAACCTAAAAGTAGATGAAAACATTTTATGTAGTCAATAAAAACCATCGCATTTACTTATTTTATTCTTGCTATTTATCTAATCATTTATTTATGAAGAAAGTTATAAAAACACACGGAGAAAAAACAATTCTGGTAAATTTACCATACTGCATAGTAATGACATTTCTGTTTTAAAAAAACACAGGACTCTGGTAATAAAATAAAAATAAACGGAATTTAAACCATTCATTTGGTAATTTTTTCGTTCCTGGTAAACAGTCTGCAACAAATTACAGTTCTTATTACCACACATTTAGTAAAAAATATAAAACTGAAAAGTAAATTTAACCGAATTAATGATTTTATACCCTACTCTAAAGTATCATGACTAAATTAGCTAATTTCATCACATATTATAAAATCATATTTGCATTGCTAATTTTACCAAAATCATTTCCAAAGTGCTTCCTCGAAAACTACAGAAATTTTGTTGTTCTCATAGAGCCGGAAATAATTAGTTTTTCTAACTTCTTTATTAACTTTTTTAGCCTCAGTACAAGAACAAGAGATCATACTTTTTTTCTCAGTGCAAGAGCACATAAATGAAGCAATTAAAATTCATCAATTTAGGTAACAGTTTCAGTAAGCTAAAAAATTGTGAGTTCGAAACATAAATTTCTTCTTACTGATGGCTCAGGAACTGTCGTGACAATCCTACCAAATGAAATCACATACTGGTACCTGATATAATTTCAGAAATGCTCTAAGACTTGCAAAAATAAATGGCGGGATACAGTTACGAAGTACAAAACCATGGAACACAGGATCCCCCTTTTCCCGACCACTTACTTAAAAAAAATACAGAAATAAAATTATGGGACTGTCATATGAGTTTCCAAATAATTTTTTTAGTTCTAACGATTAAAATGTTATGCATAATTTAGCATAATTTTCCAAGTAATTATGCATCATTTTCCAAGATTTTTTTATTTGTAATTTGGTTAAAAAAAAGTTTCAAATCTATAATAACACTGTTGAAAAAGTATCAAAAATACACATTTAGAACCTTACAATTAAAATTTTGAGACTAATTTCAAAAGAACGCATTGAAATGAATAAAAAATATTCAAAAATATAATATTAATTAGTTATATAATACATAAGGAAATTGCATTCGTATGATTGAATATAACTTATTCTTAAGCATTGCAAAACAGTAGAATCTTGTAAAAAATTTCATAATTGATGTTGCTTAAATATATTAAATTTGAAAATATTCTTTTTCAAAAATATTAAATTTCTGAGGTTTATGGGATAAAATAACATCAAAATAATATCGGAACATATAATTTAATTTGAGCTAAAAGCCAAATTTCTACTTTAAATTTTAAGGGGGACATCTGAATTTTAGTAGAGCCTAATTTATGAGATTTAAAGTCAAATTTTGACATTTCAACCTCATAATCACTGTATAAATCCTTGTATAGTAATAATACTTGTATCTATTTCATATAAAAAATACTGCGCAAAACGAATAATGCTTTGTTAAATTAATTATTGTTTAAAGAACTATGACTCAGTCTAAATTTTGAAAACAACAAAATTTTGAAATTAAATTTTAATTTTTTTTTAAATTTTAAATCTCAAATTTTTTATTTTGCTTTTTTTCGATTGTAATATTTTTGTTTAACTATTTGTATAACTGAACTTCGCCTAGAACAGGCCTCAAGTAAAATATATCTTTCAGATCAAAAACGTAAGTTTTTAATTTTTTTGAAGTATAAGTATAAAATGAAATTAGTTAGTTCAAAACTATAAAGTTTGGAATAAAATAAAATAAACAGTTAAATTATTACTTATAAAATTTAAACACACAATCGCATTTGTCTTTCTTATACTAATGCGTATATTTTTATTAGTCAGGATTATTATTGTGTAGATTCCCGGAGACACCTAAGAGTTACATTTCGTTTATAAATTCATAATTTTGTTCATAATCTAAGCGTTATATTTTCTGAACCTAAAAACTAAAATTTGTTTTGAATTCCTGTTTTTGAAAAAATTTTAAGCTTACGTTTTCGGAAAAAATATAATTTCAATGCCCATTTTGAGAGACATTTAATGTGAATATGAAAAATATGATAAAACCTGTGGGTACACCTTAATATTTAAAAATTTTAAACTCTAAATTTGAGGAAAAATTATTAAATTTTGGCGATATTGTATGGATCCATTTTGAGGATTTAATTTTGCAAGAATTCTGTATTATTGTTAGTATTTATTGCGCTATTGTTACTTATAATAATCATGCTTTTTTCAATATTTCCTCCTTAATCCTTATTTTCAATTATTTATTTATTTATTTAGAATGATAAAATATTTTAGTGCTTTTTCAAAAACTTTCAACTGCAGTGTGCAATTTCAAAAGCAGTATACATAGTTTAAGTTTTTGAGAAATAACCAAAATCTGTTAATTTGTACCGAATTAAACCTCAAAAATATTAGGTTGTTCGGAAAGCAATTTTTTTTTCTTTTTTATGAAACTGAAAGACGTGATAGTGTATAAGTATTTTATTGAATCATACATAATCCATTCTTGTTCAGCACTTTTTGAGATCTTTCTTGCAGCAGCATGATTCGACGAACACAAATTTTCTGCTCTTTTCTGGCAAAAAACTGATCCAAGTAGTTTTTGACCTCCTTATTTTACCTTCTAAAGCATTTTGTAGATGTCGGAACAATGTTGTAGACAACCCTTTTCTCGTCCCCAGTGATGATGCTCTTCAAACTTGAATTATTTTCTTGATGTTAGAGAAGCAAATCACTGACTTAAACTCCACGGCACAAATTTCTTTTCGTTAGAACATGAGGAACTCATAAGCCAAGCTTTGAGAATAATCCTTAGGATTTTCAAATAATCATGAAGGGTCGAATTCAATAAATTTAATGTTTCAGGGATCTTATGAGTTGTTATTCACCCAGTTGTTTAGATTATTGGCTTTATTGTGTCTTCAGCAGCTTAAGCTGAAGTGGTGCATCTTCGCGTATCTTAATCTGAATTTTACAAACCATTTTTAGCACTGGCGAGCTAATACATCTTCTCCATGTGCATCGGACAACTATTTTCTTGCTAAAACAACATTTTTACTTTTTTCGATAGTGAAAAATTTTAATATGCCAAGAATTCTGCTTTACACTTTTCATATTTAAAAAAGCACCAACCCAAAACTACCACGTAGAGTCAATCGAACCTTTTCACAGGCAAGCCTTGCCATATCAGCTGTTAAAATAATTTTGTTTATGAGGCATAAGTGTGACATTGGCAGTAAAAAATATAATGAAGTCATGTGTTGAGAAAAACTTTCCTTGTTTACTTTCCGAATAACCAAATCTTTTCTAAATAATGTCGACTCATTCCAACTCTTAGCATTAATGCAAAATTTTTAAATACATTTGAAATCTAGATTAAAAGAAACTGAATATGGCCAGAATAATATCATATATTGTACCATAATTCCATATCCATATTTTTTATCCCTATATACCAGATATTTTAGAATGTGAACAGAATTTTTGATACGAAAGTTAAAAGTAAAATGACCAGAATTGCTAATATATATGTATTAGTAATTCTGGTTATTTTAGTTTTCCCTTTCTTAAGAAAAATTAATTTAAAAACTCCAACTTTAATTGGGCCACACAAGGCCCGTAGACAGCATATTTGAAGCGTATATGCTATAATGATATAAAATTACTCTAACACACCTGTTGCCTTGATAGGAAGCTTTTCCGAACATCCACTATAGGGCGCTCTTCTCTTCGCGCATGCGAATCGTCTATTTTCTTCCGCCTACACATCCTGCCAACCAGCAAGGATTTCCAGAACGAAGCAAGAAAGCCGGTCGTTATACGCATTCTAAGATTAAAGAGGAGATACGATAGGAAGGAAAACAGAAATTTCAGGAGAATGACAGCTACGAGAAGAAAATAAGAATGAATGTTTGAGCTGTTTCTTTTTTACACCAAATAAACTGATTTATGTTAGTAAATATATTTTAATAAGAACAGAGAAAGGGTCATGCCTTCAATGACAACTTGAAATGTTGATGTTTTGCTATAACTTTAACGGTACTTAAAAGACATGCTCAGGTTCCTCCTCTTCCATAAATATTAGCTATGTCTGAGTGAGTAGTTTCGAAATGTCTTTTTATATAATTTGAAAAATTATTGTGGGTATTAAATATATTTATCTGACTTTAATATTAATTTTATGAAAATCTAAACTTTAAGAAAAAGTTTAAACATGATAACAATTCATTGATAAAGTTCTGACAAAGTTTTAACTAATGAATTAAAGGTACTGTAGAAAAAAATAAATTTTGTTAATTTTCTTCGACTAAATTTATACACATTTTTAATTTAAATATTTATATAAACAAATTTAATCAAGATATTAACGAAAGCTATTTTTCTTTATTGTATCTTTATTAAATATAATTTTTATGTATTTTTAGTTTAAATGCTTGCAAAATTAAATTTAGTCAAGATTTATTCACGAAATTCTTCAATTATTATATTTGATGATCTTTCACAAAACGTTATCTATGAATTTTTCATTTTGTTTTTCTAAATATTAAAAATGTGCACTATTCAAATAATTGAGTGAGTAAATTTTTATATTTAATACAAGGAATCATTTAATAATAAAATACATTTTATAGACATTAAAAGTCATTTTAATTAAACTGAAAAAAGGGAGGTCTGTAAACTGTTTTTTCAAGGAAGTTTAGCAGAAAGTAAGAAAGTTACAAAGTCTTGATTAAAAGCAGGAATAAAATCAAAGAAAACTTGCGAGAAGCAGTAACATAAAAACATTTTAAGTTTGATAAGTTTGAATTCATAATTTATAGTAATTTCCGAATGAAGAGTAGAGAGTTTTAAAGAAAAGACTTAAAATAAATATATTATGTAATTCCTTTACAATCTTAATTAAATTTCAGATGAGGAAAATTTATTTCTATTTTATAGTATCAAAGAAGTTTGACTTATTATAATTATATGGGTAAAACTAAGTTTATTTCTCCACAACAGAATAATTGTATTAAAAAGGGGAGAGAAAAAAAGGATGAAATTGTAAATATTTTCCAGAATTGAAAATTTAAATGCATAATTTAAAAAGAAGACAATGATCCAGACGTGGAACAAACAGAAAATATACAAAAAATATTAGTTACAGTTGTGCAGAGGACAGCTCTAATAATTATAGTAGTTTTTCTAATATTTGTCATATTTTTGCAATTATGTGCTTGTATTGTACATATCATTTATTATTTTTTGTAGTATAATATATTACTAAAATATAAATTCTGAACAAATTTTTTATAAGCAGATCGGTCAATTTTTTGTTTATGAAGGGAGTAAATTACTTATTTCCAAATTAGTTTTATGCTTACATGAAGCATGTCAAATGATTTAAAGAGAAATTTTTATTACGATTACAAAAAGAAACTTGTATTTAAATTTTTATAGTTTTATGTATTAATATTATTGATTGAGAAAAACAATTTGTCAAGCTTAAAGTACTCAGTTGTTTTCAAATAAATTTAAGTCGGGAAAATGATTGAATAAAATTATATGAGTAAAGAGTAAATCATTTAGACTTTGTTTTAATTTCATTTATTTTTAGAGTTTTTTTATAGATACTTTTAGAAATTGTGAAACGGTTTGAGCTATAATATTGCTCACACTTACATTAATATAGCTTTACCAGCTTTAACCTTATTGCTTAATATAGTTTAATTTAAAGAAAATTATGGAAACAGTTTTAAATTTAACATTCTATTAAGATTGCAGTAAATTTATAATGTATCATGATTGAATGTTAAACCTATTTTTCTGTGATTCTAAAAATACAGTGTCATCTATTTTTAACTTTAAAGCGATTTTTCAGAGACTGTTAAAATACTTAGAAATTTTATCCATTTTCAGTTAGAGCTGTATCGAGAAAATAAGGTAATAAAATACTATCTGGGATCTTTGGATTAGGAAAAAATGATAGTCTTTCATTTTTCAGAGATTAATTTAGAATAACTTAGGCATATTCGTTTCTTCTGAACGCTATTACTCATAATATGATATAAAAGAATAATTGAATCTTTCTCCCTTCAATTATTAGATAATTCTCAAATGAATAATTCGATTTGAAGGTATGGTTAAAAATATGATTTTAATTTATTTGTTACATTATTTATATATAAGTACTTTCTCAAATAAATAATAGGATCCGAAAAGGATTTTCATTTATTTGAGATAGTTTTTATATATAACTACTAACGTAGTTACTTTTGTCGCATTTCAAAACAATTAAAGCATGTGCAATCTACTTAGCAAAAACGAGCTATGTGGTTTAGTTTTACGTTAAGAGCTGTATCCAATTTAATAAGAATTATTCTCAATTTTTATTATTATTTTTATATTAAAAATTTCCAGAGTTGCAATCTTTTTCATTTAAAGTTATATGGTATTTTAAATTATTTATTGCGTGTATTTACACGCAATAGGTAATTGAATTTAATTTCAAACGAGGGCTAATATTAATCAGTTATAATTTTATTGCAGCTTTATTCAGATTGTTATGTTTATCATCATTCAGAACTATAATGTGTTATAACATGATTTCAAAGAGTAGAAAAGAATTAAGTTATTGCAGACTAAAAAGCAGTTCACATTTATTTATTTTAGTAAAATTTGCCTGATAGTTATGACAAGGTTGTCAAAATAATTAACGTTTTCACTTAACGTTACAAAAATGGTCATTGTCAATGAAAATAATAGGAAAAACCATTTGTTTTTTAATGTTTTTTATTATTATATCATGGGGAATAATTTGTTTAAAAATCGGTTTGAAAATCAGAATTTATTATCAAGCTCTAACATTACATTTCTCATTAAGATTTCTTTAGAGAGATTTCAAAATATATTTCGTAACATTTTTGTGGAAATTATCATTAAATACTGTATTAATATCATAGAATTATTCACAACAAATATTAGTAATAGCAAAACTTTAAACTTTAACGTGATTCTTTTATACATTTAAAATAAATATATTCCCTTTTAATAATTTTTCTCACTTTTGTTTATTGTGGAAAGTTCAATGCTAATTTTGGTATTTATTTAATTAACATATTTTTAATAATACTTAATAGTATCGATCGAAAAACGCATTTTATTTTTCATTAAATGCTTCGAATAATTCTAAATTTTTGAAAATACAATAATTTTTTTTAAGAAAAACTTTATTTTAAATGCCAACAAGAATTTTCAAACAATGCAGTCAAGAACACTTCAATTTTTGGAAAAGTTCAAGAGGGTACCCCCTTTTCAGAGACAGACTCATAACAGGTCGTAAAATACGCATGATATCATTTAATATCTTAAACAATCATGCATGATTCAACTTTTATTTACAAAGAGTTTTCGCAACTCTATAATATGAAGCAAATCAATTTCCTTTACAAGGTCAATATTATTACTTTGTGATCTTGAACACAATGATACTTATTGATTAAGAAAATAGCATCAAGCTGTTTCCAGGTGTTTCAATAGAGAAATCTCACCGAAACATCCGTTGTGACAAAATTGACACAAAATATTTTTTTCTTTCTATTTTAAGTTCGATCGAAAATCTTGGCAACAATAACCACTCGCGAAACCGATGTTGGATACCATTGATTGATTCCAGCTATAATTTATTTAAAAGCAATTTAAATCAGAGGTAAAAGAAATCTTTTGAGTGCTAAGTCTTTTGCTGCCACTCATTTTCCCTGTTGTTCATCATTATCTTGGCGATAAAAGCTTTTTACAGACTAGAAAATAACAGATTTTATCACTTCATGAATTGATACATTTATATTGAAAAATAGAATTTTAACCTCTTTCACGTTGAAATCTGCTTGCCATTATGGAGATTTTCCAGATTCAAATTTTCAAGTCGATAGATAAAAATGCGACCGCTCTGATCACATTTTTAATAAAGAGAACTTCAGTAAAATTGAAAAATATTTAGTTCTTTTGAAATGATTCTAAAATTTCCTTTTTAGAGTCAAAAAACATATATTTTGTTTTCTTTAAAAAAAAAGCATAAATATAAAATAATTATAACTTTTGACATTAAACGTTCGAATGCAAAGTATCAGTAAAAATTTTTTATTTATATTTATGGAATTTTTTGTAGATTCCGGGACTTCTAAATAGATGCACACCTAAACACATAGTTACACAAGCCCCTAAATTCTTCTCCTAGATGATCGTGATCTATGTTCATAAAAATTAGTGATAATCACTTTAATAATCAAAAGTGTATAGAGCACTGTGATACAGAAATCGATATAAAATCCCGTATAAATTTGGTTAAAGGGATTTAGTCACAATATGTGTTAATTTTTCTTCATACTTTCATTTTTTTCCATACTTTTCTAATTTGAAAATAGTATTTCGTCTTTTTGTGAAATGTAAATCCTTTTAAAGGGTATTTTTACGTATATATCAAAGCTAAAAATATGCGATATTATCAATTATTCTGTTAGTAACCTAATTTTTTTAAGCTTTGTTAAAATTAGGCTAGTATTTTTAAGCTATGAGAATTTTTCAGAATTTTTGATCCTTCACGATAACATGAACGTCACAATATAATGTAAGTTTTCACCCCAATCGTTATATCGATCGTTGAATTTTTTGGTATTATTAAATAGAAACTTTTTAACTAGCCCGTGCTATAAGTTACAAAAATAGTTTTGCAGAATCTCCTGAAAAGAAAATCTCAGTTGCATTACATTCATGGTTAAGACTCTTTTTAGAAATTATGAAGATAAAAGTGTAAAACTGGTAGTGTCGTTTTTGAAGATTGAAATCCATGTTTCCTAAAGATTGGTACAATTTGTGAAGCAATTGGAAAATTTTTTACTAATGATAAAATTATTAGCTCATGCAAACAATTATAAATAAACTTAAATTTACATATCTTTATCTTTACATACGCAAAAAAAACATTATTTTACATTATCTTTTCACTTATAAACACTAAAGTCCCTTTGCTTTGTAGTATATCTTAGTTTAAATATTGCTTTATTATACTGTTTACTTAAGTTCAAATTATATAATCGCTAATCAGTTCTAAGTATAA